CCTCGACCTGTGCTACAAAGAAGGGTCTCAGGCGAAGATGCTCCACAAGGGCTGCTCCCTCAAAAGTGATCTAAAATCGGATGTCACGGGATGAAACTAACAGGAGACACAAGGCTCTGGGCAAGGGGACTCTTATAACAAATGTGTGACCATGGACTGTTCAACAAAGACACCGTACACACCGATGGCTGCTATTACTAGCCTGGTGCATCTTAATTAAAGAGGCAGTCTTGATAATCTGTAATTATACAAGGTGGCTAAATGAAACCAATCAATACTGCCTCGTCTACCAAGACACTACAACGTGATGTTTTTTTCTTATTGCTCTGTTCATTTATTACCACCGTGAGGAAGATGCAAGGTATTACTGGGGCAGGCTTACCAACTCACCCTTGTTCAATACTTTATGCGTATTCTAAGACAAACTGGACTAGAATATTAGGCAAATTCCTATATATATGACAAATAACCTGATTAATATCATTAAATATCATTCAGATAGCCTTGAACAAGATTGTCATTTGAGCGTTATGGCAGCCTGTGGTTAACCTAAGCAGACTGTAGATTAGGCATGGTCTGCTTGACATGATATTAAGTGGCCCTTATCTATAGCAATGCGCATTCCTCCAAATTGCTGTGTTTTGTAGGTGTTCTTTAGTCAGAAATTTCACTCCCCTCCCCCCTCCCAGAAGCCCTTATTATCTACTAAAACCTGATATACTGAAACATGAAGCAGCACGCTATTTCTGTGAACATAAATTAGAAAAAAGAAATGCAAATAATTGATAAAGAAAGCTAAAAGTACTAATGAAACATCATGATCAGTAAGCGTTAATTGTCTACTTGTCCCAAGTAGTATATAATCAGGCAAAAATGGAACACCTGCAATACAGCAGTTCAAATTCTGTTAGGAATTTTTTTTCTGTCAGCAATAAGAAAAGGGCAAATGTGCGTGATAAATATTTCTGTCCTTTATTTTTCCATAAAGAGAAAATGGGAGACTGCGTGCCTATGTCATAATGGACAACTTTGTATTGCAGCGATGACTACAGATGTTGCTCTCTGTAATTTGCCTTCACCATTTCCAGTTATTTTCTTCCCAGCATTTTTGAAGGAGTTGGATCCGGTGCTCATTTATCACTTAGTGTTGGCTTTTAATATTTGTAAAAGAAAGAGAAAATTCAGTGTTTTTAGAAAAAAAAAAAGGCTTAGATTTGTTGCAATCTGTCTGCTTCTTAAAGATCTGCCTAATTCATGCTAGGTTTGTACAGTTTCAAACAAGTACATGGGATGAAAATTGTCTTTGCACATTGGACGCTTTGACACTGCACAAGGCAAAATAACCGATTCCAGATTTCTTAAGTTGAAAAGCAAAAACAACAACAAAACACGCACAAAAGCACTATGAAAGACCAATCTGCATGATTTCATGGAATACTGATTAGCGTTTGGAATGCAAAATCAGTGTGCTAAAACCAACAGAGGAGACGTGAGGTGGGTTTGTATCTAACAGTTGATAAACAGAACTATTCATGAAGAATTGCACAGAGTAGGGCACTTCATTTCAATTCCACTGGATCTCCGGAAGGCTCGGTGTTACTCAGTATAGTGATTTGGGAACATAATATGGAATATAAAAATGAAATCACTGCTGGCCACAACTAGAAGTGATGAAAGTTTGGTGCCACAATAAATAACTATATCAGCAGACCACTTAGGCAGAGTGCTCAGATGACAATGATCTGTACAAGAGACCCATCCTACAGGCTGCCTTAGCTTCTGTGTTCTGTTAAAGCACATAACAGGTGTCTTAGAACTATGGAGAGCAATGCTGTACACCTTTCAACAAAGAATACATGCCATACAGGATGAAACAGTGAAACAAATTAAGAGGTTACAGTAAATAGAGGAAATGAGCAAAGCTTTTTACACTGTGCTGCAAAGCAGTAAGAAACCAGTGTTTCCTCAGTGTATGGCACTATGCACACGCATTAAAAAAAGGAAAAAGAAGATAGAAAAAAGAAAATTAAAAAATGAAAAAAAGAGAAAAGAAGCGTTTTTGAAGCAAGAGCATGAAATCAGAAAAGCTTCAGGAAAAATACAAGGCTGACATTATTTAATCAGTAATAACCTTAAGAAGCTCAAACTTATTCACCTTCCAAAGAGAATATTAAGATGCTATTTTAATGATGGTTTCACAATCCTTACAGGAAGAATGGGTATCAGACAGTAATGACACCTCTCATAAGAAGACAAATCCATGAAAACATACAGTGCCTGGAAGCTGACATTAGCTGAATTTAATCTGGGCCTAAGGTGCATTAACCTACAAATGAAGGCCAAGTAGTTTACCAAGAAAAGTGCCTGATTTTCCATTTCTTTTAATCAGATTCAACAAATAATTCTGCTGAGAATTTAGGAACTTTTTATGCTATTGAACCTGGTCTTTAGGATCCTTGTAAATGAGAGGATATACAAATCTCATAGGAAAGATGGGAACACAGGTATCAGTGACTGAAATCCTGCATCTTTTATCATGTAAGAGATGAAACTGTATCATATAAGGTTAAATCTATTCTTCTGCAATTATATCATGCTGTGATGCTTTCTTTAAGAAATTTCCAGTGCTTGGAAAGCAAAACAGACCATCACCATAGTTATCTCACGTAAGCTGAAACACTGAAAAGTTCAAGAGAGACAAGTGACTTGTTGAGATAAAAATGACTGTCCCTTTTTGCCTTTTTCCCTGATCCATAACAGGTGACAGTTGTTTAGCTCAATGTCTTATCTCTATTTCCTTCCCCAGTGAGAAAGAGTCACTTGCTGAAGTGAAATAGCTCTCCCTGTCTGGCTAAGAACTTCTCCCTGCTTAACTTCTCTCAAAGTGGGAAGTGGGAATTTTGGCCTCCAACTCACTGAAATATGGAGTTAAAAGCCAAGGGTAGACTCTATCTCTTCCTCGATGTTGGGTGGAATATAGCAAGGTCAGCAAGACAGAAAGACATTGGCTTCTTAGCAAATCACTAATTAAATATCCTTCAGAAAATCAACAATGAAGAAATTACCCTTGAAATTTGGCTTATCAGCCTTCTTATAAAGATATGTAGACAGGCAGGCTAAATTTCATGCTATTCAAAGCAAAAGTAGAGCACAAATTGCCTAGTGCAATGAATACTCTGCATTCAGACTATGATGGCCTATGTCTGAAGCATTTTAATACACTTTGGAAGATGATGTTTTCACTATAATATATGTCACTAATGTTTTATATGGCAAGTGGCGTCATACTATGAGGATCTCCTGGAATGTCCCTGCTTCCAGTTAAAAAAGTTCTCCTTCATCTCTAAATAGATTACACCTTCAGCAGGTGTTTGAAATAGGCAAAGGTCTGTAACCTCATAAAGAGGAAAAAAAGAGGATGATTGGTCAGACATGGAAAGTGTGAGGTGGTAATTATTTTCATATGACATGCGAGAGATGCTATAGCAAAGCTGACTAAAGCTGAGCATGAGTTAGCCAGTCCTCTTGAGAAGTGATGTCAGCCAACTTTTGCTTTCTCCAGAGCTATGATTAATAAACAGGGAGGATTATTACAGTAACTTACTCTTAGTGGGCAAGGAGTGACATCAACAGCAGCTGAGCAAACTGACCAAACTTAGTTGTGTGTCGTTGAGTTTTTTTGCTAGCAATGACTAACAAGGGGCTAACAGCATCCCAGGGCACAAAGAGCCCTTGGAACTGAAAGGAGGCTTCTGGTGGAGCTTTGCAATGACAACCACCATTTTGCTCTTCTGCTTCGTTTTACAGGTGAAAGACTTTTTGGCTGGCCTGCAGCAAGCGCTTAACTTTCTCTGTTCTCATAAGCAAACTCAAAACCAGTCAAAAACTACCCCTCTGCCTTTCCAACATAAATCTGTATGCATCATCTCCATTTTCTGCCTTGTCTGCCGACATGTAACAACTTTTTTTTTTTCGTTACTAATTCCAGAATGCCATTATAAGTGGAACTTATGTGTCCTTGGAGCATGGATTTTAACAGCAACAGCATAAAAAGTTTAGACATGAAATGTAGAATGCTGAGCATCAAGTTAATCTTGTGAAGAATGCTGTGTTTAATTACGTTTTCTTTTTCCAAACTGATAGAGACTTATAGAAACCCTGCCTGCCACTTAGCCTTTGTAAATTTGCCCTCCCTAAAATTAGACCTGGCCACCTGGAAATATTTACTAACTGAACTGAAATACTCTTGTGAAAGCACTGCCAGTGTAAATTGAATTCTTACCCCTGTAAAGTAACAGCACTCGCATTGTGCAGCCCTGAACGTAACTGTGAGGTACTCTGCGAGAAGGTCAGATACTTTGGACTCTTTCTGTCATGTTAACTTTTTCACATGAGGGGAACAGCGTTTGCACTGACAATGTAAAAGCATATGACACCGCTTGCAACTCTGTGTTGTGTGCACTGAGAAAACAGTCCCAAACAGGAGCTAGAGGTTTGACAACATATTGCTAAAACCTTCCTGAGCTGAGCCTATTCAAATGCCCTTTCTGAACAACAAAAGGAAAGAAACAAAAGATGGAGTGTGCAAGCCAACAATTTATTTGTCCAAACACTAATAACACCGTGCTTCTCATTTTCTCACGGACATCTTGTGAGAGAAACAAAAGGGATTTTCTGAACTAAACAGTGAATAATGGTCCCAATAGTAATACGTGCAGGCTCAGCCAGAAACAGAGATGCAAAGTATACAGATATTGAAATCATAGAGTCATAGAACTGTTTGAGTTGGAAGGGACCCTTAAAGATCATCTAGTCCAACTCCCCTGCAATGGACAGGGACACTTACAGCTCAGACAGGTGCTCTGAGCCACCTCCATCCTGACCTTGAGCATCTCCAGAGATGGAGCATGGAGCACCACCTCTCTGGGCAACCCGTGCCAGCGCCTCACCACCTTCATTATAAAAACTTCTTCCTTACATACAACCTGAATCTCCTCTCTTTTAGTTTGAAACTGTTTCCCCTTGTCCTGTCACCACAGACCCTCCTGTATAGTCTGTCCCCTTCTTTCTTGTAGCCCCTCTTTAGGTACCGAAAGCTGCTGTCAGGTTACCATGGAGGCTTCTCCAGGCTCCAGAAATGTTCTATCATAAAACAGTTAACCATATTCTAAACATTTTCTGTTGGAGGTTTTGCACAGCGTGGAGTGGTTTTTCAGTTCCAAAGCAGGTAGCAACATATTTTAGCCAGCAGGAAGAAAAGCTTGGAAATCATGGCAGGTTCCCCTTTCCATCCTTCCAACCATGGATTTCTTTGGAAGTCCTGGGCAGCCAACCAAGTGCTATGAGCAAACTTCCACTTTGTATCTTCCAAGTTAAAAAAGAAAGACAACAAATACCAGTTTCAACACTTACCTATACCGGAGATTAATCAGTAGATTTCTGCAAAGATTTTTGCCTGTCACGTACTGTCTGAGTACCAGGAATTCATGCTACCAGAGACCCTGATACTTTGAAGTTCAAACACATTTTAAAAGACAGGTTTAAATTTTGTGCAGTTATTACTGTATTTCAGTCCATTTTTGAATCCCAGAATATGCTTTGGAACTTTCCTTTTCCTGGAGCTATCAGATTTTCAGCTGATGACTGAAAATGTCTCCCAGCATCTCCAACTCCAAGTAATATAAAAATGTCTGTATTTGCTTGTTGAAGCAGCTTATTCTATGTGGATATTTTGTAATGAAATACAGCTTATTCTGTGTCGTACAAGCAGGTATTTCATTTCTATGAGATGGAGTGGTCAAAGGAAGCTACTGAGGTAGCTTTGTGTGGAACACTCACCTCCTGACTTTCACCTCCCTTTTCTGATTCAGATGTCCTACTGCAATTCCAGCCTCTCCTGCTGTTTCTGTTTCCAGATGGTGACATGCAGCAGGCTTCCCACAAACATTGAGACATCCAGCCATACCTGGGCAATTCAGAACAGCTTCACAGCTAGACAGCAGAAGCAGTCTTTCCCAGTGATTCAGCTTTGAGACTATGAGAAAGCAGTCTAACATATACAAAAGATGTTTTTTTAACTTTTCATCTTAACCAGAGTTTGACGTACTGTTTCAGCATCACTGGCTGAGGAAATGCTTCCAATTGGATGTGATCATAGTCAGCCAATAATCTTTCTAATAGTACTGAACTCTAATACTTTTTTTCCTCTTAAAAACCCTCAACGAACTGACCAGAGGTGGGGGTGTGTGGAACAACTGGTGTTTGGTATATGACACTTTTTTCAGTTCCAGATTAGCAGTTCAAATCCAACCTGTGTCAGTTGTGACTAAGATGGTTATTCACGGGACTAACTTTTGTCTAGGGTAGATTTCCTGTGAAATTGATGGTGAGAGATAGGGTTTTCTAACAGATGATTCAGGGCAGGAAAAGGTAGGTTCTGCTCTGAATCACCTTCAGGAGCATTATTCTCTTCTCTGTGGCATGGAGACAGGAGCCTCAGTCCCACATGAGGAAGCTTCTTGCATGGTCCTGCCAGTAGTCCATCTTTTCTCAAGCCAACAACAAATGCTCTGAGCAGAGAGAATGTGAGTCTGGCCACTTTCTGTGGGTCTTTCTCTTCAAACTCCCCAGCATCTGCAATTGTTGTATTAAGGATGTTAAAGGATATGTCCCTGCCTATTCCCTCTGGTAGTTATTTATGGACCTTTTTGAGTCTGCTGATACTGTCTGCCCCACAGCCTCCTGTGGCAACAAATCCCAGAAGTTCAGTCTCCATTGTGTAAGCACTGTATCTGTTTTAAATCTTTTCCTACTAGTTTCAACGAGTTCCCCCTGGTTCTAGCACTGCAGGGTTTGGTGGATAACAGTTCTACATTCACCTTATCTGCCATCTTCATGACTTTCTAAATCCCAAGCGTGCCTTCCTCAGCCTTCTCTCCAAACTGAAGAGTTTCTGCCTTTTACTTTTTTTCATTAGGCAGCTGCTCCACTACCATTACCATTTTAATGCCTCTTCTCTGACTCCACTATGTTCTTCTTGAGATGGGGAAAGCAGAACTGCACACAACATCCATGTCAGAGGTGCACCCAGGGCACCCAGGCTGTATGTGCCAATTCAAAATAGTGCCTTCTGTCTTACTCTCCACACCCCTCCTGACAAAAGCACACATTCTGTTGGCTTTTCGGACTTCCACTGGTCATTGCATCGATAATTTTGGAGAACTAAGGTGCAGACACCTCTCAGCAATACTACCCTGAGCGTCACTTCCAGACTATGTGCTGACTGGTATGAAAGGATTCCTTTTTCTCAGATCAGTCCCCACTCAGAACAAGTCACAGCATCAGGCAGCTCTGCTGAGTGTCGTGTTAGCTTGCTGGACCGTGGGGATGAACCAGCCTCTGCGAGTGGGTGAGGAAAGCTGTCCTGTGGCTCTCCCTGCTGTAATTCTCCCGTGAGCAAGCAGATTACTTTAGTATTCAAAGCTGTCAATTTGGCTCTGATCAGAGGAGCTAAATTCAGTTTAAGCGGGAAGAAAAAAGAATGAGAACTAACTACAAAATCTGCTTCATGAGAAATATCTGAACACTTCTTTGTTGTTTTTATACTTCCTAGATGCTTGGTTACTGCCTCTGAATGGACGGCTTCAAAGGAGCAATTAAAAAATGTGTGCATGGATACACAGATGAGCCCTGTTTGCACACAAAAACTTTATTCTGAGCTACCTTATGTCACCCCTTTTAGCAGGAGTCATCACGAGGGCATGACACCAATAAGCAGACAATGAATAAAGAAAATAACTGTTTATAAGTTCATCGTTGGCATACGAAAGTTATTGAAGAAGAACTGATATTCTAGGCAACTGGCCATCACTGCTGCATATCAGCCCGCTGTTCTCCCAGTGATTACAGGATGATCTTAAAGCCCATTTTAAAAGCACCTGTAAGAGATCTCTGAGCTTGGCAGGTACAATTCTGTGTGCTCTGATAAACACGCTTGCCCCATGTTTTGTGTGCACACTGAAGTCTGTAGATAAGGACGCTGGGCAAGCAGGTACTGAATTAGATGCTGTCCCTCCCACATGCACTCAAACACAAGCATGGTGCTTCAACTACAAAACATGAAAACACATGAGAAAAGTTAGTGCAAGTGGATTAGGGAATTCAGTCCAGATCTGGGGACACTACATCCACTCCAAAGGATCAGCCTCAGTGCTACCAAGGCAAATCTCAAGTGTTATTACTTCTAGATATGGGGAAAATTCTGAAATAAGTTCTCAGAACTTAGATTTTCATCTTAATGTGGAAATTCTGACTTGTAAAAGGTATGTGTGCTTATAGGGAAGGGGGGCAACTTAATTACATTAGCAAGCAATGTGTGTTTATTTCACTTCTCTCACTTGGCATATGTGAAACACTCTCAGAAACTTCCTAATTTCTAATGAAAATAATCACTGAACCCCATCCCTCAGAGGTTAGATGCCTGTGCTGGACGCGAGTCTGAAAGTGATCTTAAATGACCAAAATTAAATCTGGTGCTGGTAGTAAGGATACAGCACAGCATTGTTCACTGCATATTGCTAAAGCATATTATGTGCTTTAGCTGAACAACATTTCAAGTTAGGGAGCTTCTGAATTTGCTGGTTAATGGCAAATTGAGATTCTCGATAAATAGACAGGTATCTGTGGTTTCTTGCTCTGTGAGAGCCAAGGCAGGCTCACAGGGCTTGAAACTGCCTCCCTTATAAGGTCACTGCTGCCTGAGGAAGAAGCACTGGTGGATACTTCCAAAGGTACCAAGGAAGTGCAAAAACACACTGGGAGCACTGACTGCACTTCATTTGACATCAGCTGAGCTTGTGCGCTTATCCACACCCTGCTTCCATCTACAGTTTCCTTCCTTCAGATCCCAAAACACTTTGAAAAACCAAGCAACTGCAATGATGGTTTTTTTTTTTTTTGCTATTCCTGATCCACTGATCTCAGTACTCCCCATGATTTTGTTTCCATTTTGCAGATGGGGAAGTTATGGACTTGTCCTAAGGGCCCAGCAATCAAGAGTTGAGCTAGAGAATCCAGACTTCCCAGGACCCCATCTAATACTCTGCTCGGAAAAGCTGTAAGCAGTCAGGCTTCTCCTTACCATCTTCACTTCTGGATATGTTGACTTTTCCGTGGTGATTTGTTCTACTGGGGATTCACAGTGGGAAAAGCTGCAGCGATGCACAAGATCAGCATGTCCTCTTCAAGGCACATGTCGGTGTCCTCAGTGTTTCACTTATGCCAGTTCTCTACCTGTCACTCTCACAAAGAGGGAATATCCATCAGTGTGGGTTGCTACAACTTTTCCCAATGGCCTGTGCACGATGACTACTTTGGAAGATTTGTCAGAGTAATCTCTTGTTGAGTTCAACTCAAAGCAAATGGCCAGCTCACGAGCTTCATTCAGTTCTCTCCCACTCATCTGCAGATTGAAAAGCACACAAAACAGTAAAAAATGCATCCCTGTCATATAGGGAGCTAAAGCGAGATGAAATCGTGCCTTTCTTACAATACAACCATTGGGATCTATGTTTTAAAGAACAAGCCAAAAAATACACGTTGATACGTGGAAGTTAAATTAAAAAAAGACTTCAGATTTTCTGTCTCTGAAGAGAGAGAAAAGAGCACTCTGAGGAGCGCTACTCCAATTTACATTAACTAAACATTCAGCTCTGCTATTACAGAAAGAGTTGCAGGTTTTTCTGAAACCCACAGGCAATATTACTTTAAGAAGCACATCAGCTGAACAGCTTTTGCCTAAGCCTTGATTTCTAGTCTCTCTTTCCATCTCTCAATGGTTAATATTAATCTTCAAAGTCAAAGTTCAATTCAGCTGACTTCTGGTCCCACAGACAGTGTTAACTTCAGTGGCACTGAGAACTGGCTCTAAAAGCTGAAAGATAAGAGTTTGCATTCAATACGCTGTGATTAGCTGCAGTAAAAAGAATACAGAACAGAGAATTCAGAACTTGTAAGAGAAATAGACATCCATTATTCTTGACAAAACTCCACTGGTCTAAGAACAATTGTTATTAGGAATGGCTGCGATGATTCATTGTGCAACTTAATTCAGTGCAATCTAATTTTCATTATTAGCTTTAACTTACCTATAAATGTTAAATGCTGCTTCAACTTTAGCCATAGATTTTTCACCCACCTTGATACCAAACAGGATCGGTCATCTGGGGCTTCCTCCCTGTGTGATTTAAATCACTGACGTGACTCCAGTCACATCTTCTGGAAATGTCTTTGAAGACAGTATCACTCAAGACACAGAGCTGCTTCTCAAGGAAAAAAAGACTACCCCAGTAATGTGACAAAAATCTGCCTATCAAGCCACCAAGGCAGGACACTAGGTTTTATGAACCACTTCATTTCATGTAGTTGTGGTTTAACACCATTCTCTCTGCAGATTGGAGAAAATTCTCTTTGTACATAGATTTTACCCCATGGGAAATGCTTTAAACAAGCACTGGTCACAGAAGACACAATTTGTGTCGTATCATCTCATACCAGTACCATCATCTGGCTTGTGTATTCCTGTTTCCTGCTTTTTGTTTTTAAGTGTGAAATGGCCACACATATGCTAAAATAGCACAGACATAAAGTATCCCTTTTAAAGAAATAACTCACTGTTCAGGGATTGGAAAGGAAGATGAGTGAATTGCATAGCAGAAGATGTAGGTATAGTTCAGACAGAAAGAAAACATACTTGCTTTTGTCAGCCAGACTGACTTTATACAAGAATCACTTCAATCAGAACATTTTTACTTATTCTGCCCCCCTGAGAAAAGTGTCATCCATTAGTATAAAAAAAAAGGCAAGAAGTTGAAAGCTATTATTTACCCCACCCTCTAGATTGAGTTCTTATCCTCAACTGAACTTTATTTTTTGACCGGCTCACTAATTATGACTGAAAACACTGGCCCCTCCAAACAGCACAGAAGTATTAGAGTTTGCAGCAAAAAGACAAGGCTTAATTGGTCCTTATACATAAAAGCGGAAACATAAAACTTCTAAATATAAGTTTCTGGCACATCTTTTGTTGCTATTACAGTAAAATAAGGTACACCAGAGTGAAATTCCAGCTGATTTGCACAGAAATCTGTGCCAAAGTGTTTTCTAGTGACTGCTCTTCAAAGCAGGAATGGAGGCACACAAATGCTATTGTGTGCAATTTGGAATTCCAAAATAGCCAGTAAATCACACAACCTCCACTAGGTGAATAATGAAGTGGCACCGGGCCATCCTTTTTAATGGTTTGTAGGATAAAATCCACAATTAGGAAATAAGAAGCAGGTTGCTGCTACGCTAACCTTTCTCTCTGTCCCACTCCTTTCGTTATTTCTGATTCAGCAAGGAACAGAAGCGTGCCTACAAGCCAGCTCGATAGGCTTGGTGTCACTCTGATGTTGTATGTGGTCTCAACTGGCGGCATCAGAACTGACATTAGAAATCCCAACTTCACGAAATGAACAGTGATTATTTGGATTCTGAATCTGCTAGAAAAAAAATAAAGGCAGAAAAAAGGAAAAAAAAAAAAAAAGAAAGCAAGAAAGAACGAAAGAAAAGAAAAAAAAAAAAACAAAACCAACAAAACAGCTAAAGTCTTTCCCAAGAGCAATTGCCCTTTCTGGCAGGAAGGGGTAAAAATAGAGGCAGCTCATTAATATGGCTTGGCAGTGCTTAATGGCAGCTGGTCTGAAGAGCCAGATCAGTGGGCCTTTCCAGCAGTACTCCCGGACCGCTGCCAGCAGGTGTTGCTGTGTTCAACAAAATGAGAAGAAGTGGAGGGGTGGGGAGAAAAATATTTATAAAGAGAGAAATAGGTGTGAAAAAAAAATTAGTCACTGAGTAAAGCTTTCATTAGGCCTTTGGTAAAGCTATACACGAATTCCCCGAGGCAACAAGGAGCATGCTCTGAAATGAATAATGCTTTTCACTTCTCCTAATCTCCTTTCAGAAATTATCCTGGCTATAAATCACGCACACGGTTGCTGTGCTCTGCTTGTAGCCCTCCGGTTCTGCCACAGACCACACACCCTCCCCGGACCCCAGCCCTCAGCAGCCCCCAGCCTGATGCTTGGGTACAGAGCTCTGGTACTTGTGGGGCAGATTTTCCACTCTCTATAAAACCAAGGCAGTACAAGATCTCTTGCTGAGCGCCTGTCTGCTGCCAAATGACAGCAGTCACTGTGCCACCAGTATGTAACTAATTTCAGAGGGGTTGAGGACGCCGGTTAGAACCAAATTCAGTTTGGTCCTGAGAAAAACACAGTTCTGAGTCCTCTGTCAAAGCTTGGGTTTAGGATCCCCACAAAAGTGACTGTCCTGCACAGAAGTAGGTACGTGCATGCTCACCATTTGTTTCTTCAAGCGTGTCTCTCTCGCTGTCCTTCAAGGAGGAAAAATAAAAATAAAATGTTCTTTGCAACAACTGGAACCCTCAGTGTCAGACCGCAGAAAAAAAACGAAGGAAACCTGTTTCAAGGGGCTTCAATCCACGGCACGTTACAGCCTGAAAACTTATTATATGCATGTAAAAACTGGGAAACAAAACAACCTATCTGGTCATATGTTTCCCATTAACTCCCGATTTTTTGCTCATTCTACTAAAGCTGTTGTGTGAATAGAGCACATAGTTTGGTTGGAATCAGTGCTGCTCTGAGTACTCCCTGGTATCAGGGAGAAGAAAATTTGAAATCTTTCTTGCCTGGTCCACAGCAGTCATATTCTGAGACAGATTAAATGTGCATTACCGACAGGACATAAAAATACAATTGTAAGTACGATTCAGGCCAAGAAAAAAAAAATCTGAAGGATGGGGATTTTCTGGTAATCAGTGGGTGTTTTGAATGAGTAAAGACTGCATGATCATGCCATTTGTCATAAACGGTACCACATAAAACCAGTTATTATGTGTGTTTAAGAAAGGAGATTGATTTTCAATTTACTTGTGACCTTATGTATCTCTATTAATTTTGTACTGCCTAATTGGCATACGGTAATTTTTGAGTTTCGCTAATGTAAACTGAAATGGAAGTTGAAGTTGATTTTATTTCACCTGTAATTCATTGCAGCTTATTTTTAGATGTCTAAATAGTTTTTAATAGTGATGTAATCTGCACGTCAAGAAGCCATGAGACTTGGACATGAGCAATATGATTCATTTTTGAAGAACTTTAAAAGTATGCCTAAGTTAACAGAAGGACATATTTGTACAAAGAGTGAACTAAAAATTGTATCCTCTGCAAAAGGATTCTTAACCAGATGCATTTTCCTGAATTTGAAAATAATCCAAATTTGCAGATAGATTATCTTGTATATCCTTAGCACGATAGCAGACTCAAACAATTTGCTAACTAGTAATTAAATATCTGGCAAACACTGCATTTGAACTAAATCAGTGTTATCTACATCTAATAATATCTATATCTAGCTATGCAATAAAACAAGTTGGAGAGTGTCTTCCTGACTCATAGTGTTTGCATTCAGTCTGATTTTAAGTTCTATTCTTTAAATGGATACGCAGATCACCACTACAAGTTGAATCCACGATATTTTGTCATGCTAGACAATTAGGAGTTTCCATTAGATAATTACCAGAAGTATGTCTCATACAGGAAAAACAGTCAATTGCTGATGTAACAGGATTAACCAATCCAGCACACTGATCCGGCCCACTTACTCTTGACAGACACTATATGTGAGTGTACACACGAGAAGTACAGTATAAAGCTTCGCATTATAAGTACCACAAAGAGGAACTTCAGCAGTTCTTAATGCACAATACAGCAGTCTCCTTCTCAGAGTGAGGACTAGAGAGGTAAAACTTTAAACCAGCTTTTTTTTTTTTTTTTTCTTTTAAAACTAAAACTTTCAATTCATGTGCATGCTGTTGCATATTGCTAGGGCGATGCTGAATGAATGTATATGCAGAGCTTTGCAACTCAGGTAATTTTATGGAAAGAATCTGAACCAGCATTTCTCTATTTATTCAAACCTTGTATTTTCAGACGTGAACATAGATGTGTGTGTGCATGCATATCTGGAAGGATGAATGAACTCTCTATCAGTGGTACCAGCAAAATCGCTTTCAGAAAACAATGCTTTTAGAAAGTTATGCTTTAGCATTAAATCTGTCATCAGCATGGCATGCAGGCATGCTACGCTATCCCTACGTGTAACAGGCTGTGAGAGGTGTACCTGTTACATTGGCAAGCAGCGCACGCCGCACAGCAACAACTCAAGTGCACTGTCTGTCTTTTAAACTGAAATATGCCTATCCCTTACTTCTCATCAGACACTTATGGGATAGATTCTGTATTAGAACTATAAATAACTCCTTTAATTATGTCATCTGTTAGTACATCTAATCATGAATGCGTATTTTCATCTGAATTTTTTTTCTTTTTTTTTTTTTTTCCTTTGGTCCAATTAAACTTTTAGTTCTATTTCAAGCTGACTTTCAGACTTCATATAATTACAACAGACTTTGGGCTGTTCACAAGATCCAAGAAATTTAGATGTATTATAGCGAGGTTTGTGTTACAAAGATGTGTTTATAAGAATGGCTGCAGGGTTTATAATGCTGACAGACCTGTAAGTGTAACAGTATATAACAGTATAGCAACTGAGGTCAGTAAAACGCAGATGAGGGTGTACTGTGAATGCCTTCTAACAGTGAAAGACTTATAAAATACCTTAATTGAAAAGGACTTGCAGTATATAACATTTGTAAAACTTGGTTGATTTTTCAATTACTTCTGTATGCTTCACTCACTCCAACTCCAATCCCTTGCCTGTCTCTCTGCCCGCGTGCCGGGAGCTATCTCACGGAAACGACAGACCTCACAGTGCTCATCTTTATAAATTACTCTTTCCCACTCAAATACAGTGGTTGATGGTAATGTACTGAAAGTGAAATGTTTGCTTGGAGGGAGGTAAGCACACCTAAGAAGACAGAGGTGCGTGTGAGAGAGAGAGAGAACGAAAGAAGGTAAATGCCAAAGAAGCAGAAGCTCTGAGAAAATCAGTAGAAGTTTAAGTCCAGTGTGAAAGAACCTCAGAAGCTCAACTCCATCAGCTGTAGTTTTCTCTGTTACAAAGTCCAAATGTGAGGGAGTTTGTTCGCTTCACCCTCGCTAAGTAAGGTGCAGCACGGAGATGCTGCTGAGGTTAGAGGCAATACGAAGCCCTAAGAGAAACTTCCCATTGCAGGGCAGAAGCCTCATCGGAATGAGCTGCTAAGGTTCTGCTGACAGGGACTGGAACTCTGGCTCCTAGCAGTGCTTTAAGATTGCTTTTCACTCATTATGTCTTATTCTAATATTATGATTCTGTGGTTTAAATGAATGAAACAAAAAGTTCCTTTGAATAACAATGGGCCAAATGTAGAAGATCTTAGTCAGTCTTCACTCAGACAGAATTATTATTGGCACTGATGAGGGATTTGCTTGAGTCAGGAGCAAGTACGATTTGGCCAGATGACATGTAATATGTTCCGTCTTCAAAGCATTTTTCAGACATTACTTGATTAATCCCAAACCTAAATAGGAACTTCTAGGCACAGGCTAGCATAGCAGCAGGGATGTTTCTGGTTCCCGAGCAGTACCTTTGCATGTCACAGACCTGTGCCCTACCAGCTCCTCCTGCTCGTGCTCTCAGTGCCTGGCTTGCATTCTGCAGCTGGAGAGCGTATCAAGTATAATAGAGCCCTCCAAACAACAGGATTATTTTGCTTCTGTCAGATCTCCTGCCAGTGTTGATAACCTCCAGCATTTACAAATGAGCAGAAAAGATCTTTTTCTCTTCCACTCAAGGCAGAATAGCATTCTGCCCAAAATACTTTCAGCCCCTGCCGTCATCCCCATCTTGTTCACAAGCTATTTAAGATCTCCTGCTAACCCTAACAATACCAGGCAGGACAAGAGCAAGGTGCTCATTAATAAAAGGTTTCACTCTTCATTCATTCATGTTTCCTCTGTTTAGTTAAGCCAGTGATACTGTTGTAGGAATAAAACAAATGGGGAAAAAAAAAAAAGAAAAAAAAAGAAAAAAAAAAAAAAGAGAAAAAAGGAGGGGGAATGTGACAGCCAGGAGGGAGCCAGAAGGGTCAAACTGGGAAAAAGGAAGAGTAAATTTACAGGAATGGAGAGAGATTTTAGAGAGGAGGGCAGAAAGCCTGAGTAGTGATATTTGAAGAGAGGTGTGTGTTAGGGGAGCAATGAGCATAAGGAAGCCAGCCTGCCTGTTCCTCCCCCTTCCTAATCATAGCCTTTACTCACAGACAAAACTCCCTCCCTCTCCCATTCACTCACTCACTTTAGGCCAATCCGTCCTCTCCCTCTCTCTCCCTCTCTCTGTGTCTCTCTCCTACTCTGAGACAGAGTCAGAACTCTTCTCCCTGACAGCCACTAACATCTACAGCACTTATTGCATTCAGAGAGGGAACCTGCAAACAAAACTTCACAGAAAACTTTTGGTTCTTGTTCCAGAGAATTTGCTGAAGAGAAAGAAAAACAAACAAACAAACAAACAACACAAACCAGCCCCCAAAAAAACTGTGCGTGAAGGGGGAGGAAAAGCAGGGCCTTTTAAAAAGGGAATCACAACAACTTTTGCTGCCAGGATGCCTTTGCTTTGGAAGAGAGGATTTCTGTTGGTGATTTGCTGGATTATAGTGAGGAGTTCCCCAACCCCAGGATCCGAGGGGCACAGTTCAGTCACTGACTGTCCATCATGTGCCCTCACCACGCTCTCGAAGGATGTGCCCAGCTCACAGCCTGAGATGGTGGAAGCAGTAAAGAAGCACATACTGAACATGTTGCACTTGAGGGACAGACCTAACATCACCCAGCCTGTGCCCAAGGCAGCACTTTTAAATGCCATCAAGAAACTCCATGTGGGAAAGGTGGGAGACGATGGCTATGTGGAAATAGAGGATGATGTTGGAAGAAGAGCAGAAATGAATGAAGTTGTGGAGCAAACCTCAGAAATCATCACTTTTGCAGAATCAGGTGAGTGCTTAAAAACAAAGCTGTAAAATAGCCTGTTTGCCAGAACTGCAATTAACTTCTTTTCTTCTCTGCAGCAGTACTGCTTTCTGCGAGGTTGTGAGATGAGACCTGGGGGAAGGGAGAAGGACGAATGGGATGAGGTGGGGGGGGTGGGGGGCACTCTGAAGGAATTTGGTTTTTCTGATTTAGTCTTGCCTACACATTACACTTGCTAGGCACAGGCAGACACACAGGGAAGAAGCTCTTTAACCAATCTCAAGCAGAAAGTCAGGCTGCAAAGGGGTGCTCCTGACTGCTTCTGAAACCAAAGTACTTGCACTAAAGTACTGGATCGCAGTGCTGATGGTGAAAGAAAAAGGGCTCAAGGCATTTGGGGATTTTCTAAGGACAGAAAAGTGAGCTGCAAACTACTTGAGAAGCTGCCCTTTCTTTTAAAAATTATAGTGGAAGTTATAAAATCAGATGAAACAGCTTTAACTTTTAGGGCATTTTTGTTTTCTAATTTAACACAGCATCTTCGGCAATAAAGAGTTGCAGGGACTGTCAGATGACTTCAATAGAATTGGACAAGTTGCTGTAGCTGATCCAATTTGTAATGCAGACTTCTGCACGCTGTAAAGAAAAAAAAAAATTCTGCTCCTAAACTGTTTCTGCCAAAAAAACAACAAAAAAGCAACCTTGATAGGTTATATTTTGAACTTTTTCACAGTACTGTTTTTCCCTAGCTGTTATATAGTAAGGGCTAAGAATATAGATATTTACTAACTAATGGCTAAGGCTCACATCAACTGCCTATCGGAAACAGCTTTAAAGTTGTAGTTTACTGTCTTGTTCCTACATGAATAGGACAAAAACTCATTTTAAATCAGTGTATGTGCATATGTATCTGTTTGCATATGTATGTTTATACATGCAACAATGTCATTATCCTGCAATAACTCTATCATCTAACTAACAGCAACTTTTTATGATGCTGTCTAGCCAAAGCATTTTTCCTGTTGCCAAGACAGTTTTAAAAGAATGTCATTGTTTTGTTTGGTACAGCATATGGTAGGCAAAGTATGCAAAGGAACACCAAGCATTTTTGTTTAAAAGTTTGCTGCAGCAGTATAAACAATTAAGACAACACTCAGAGTTTCCAGTTCTGAAAACCTGTTGACTCAGATGTTCTGTTTGCAGGGAAGCCGTGCATAAGAAGTGTGCATGCTTTTAAGAGCAGACATTCCTGCTGCCTGTCCAATTTCCAACTGTACAGGGAGCCCTCGCCTTTGGCGTCCTTGTCAATACGCACATTATCAGTTCCTTCAGCATGCAAGTTCAGGCTTTTTTTTTTTTGGCTTTTTTTTTTTTTTTTCATCCCCTCCACTTCAGAAAGCAGGCAGACATCAGTGCCTAGTGGTCCATAGAAGCAGGAGCAGCTCAACCTTGGTTTAGAAATGAGCTTTTAAAAGCAGTGAAACCCCTACGAGTCAGATTCCCCACCTGGTATTCAGCAGCTCGTTCTGAAACACATATGGCATGAGCAGTGGTTTCTCTCCCCTGTGTGAGTCCCAATCATTTGTAAACACATTATTGTCTCTCCTGAGCTCTCACACAAAGGAATTTGGAATTTGATATATGCCCACTCAGTACGACACCCTCCAACGGCGGCTCTTGAAGCCATTGGCTCTCAGGGCCACGTGAGCAGTGAAAATCATGCCCAAGCCCACAGGCTGGCCAATAGTTCAGCCACTGATCCCCCTGCTGCAACAACCCCACACCAGTGCATCACTGACTTTGATTCACATAGTATTGTCCCATCACTGCTAGCCAAATTCATTTAAGAAGACTTATGTTATGGAGCGTGCCTGGGACATATGCTATATTCCTATGCCTTTCCTTCCTTGCTGTCCTCTCCAGCTCCACATCAAGCCTGCCCTGGAAGGCTACTCCAGCCCCGCATCCCGTACCTGATAGGCTTTTATCTGGAAGAAGTAACCTAGAAACTGAGTTTCTAGTTTTCATGGCAATGTTAACTCCAGTCTGTAGAGAGACTTCAAACTGTTGAAACATTTCTTATCTGCGGCTGTTCGTAGTTGGAGTCTCACTAAAACTGCTGGACCTTGCAGGTACAAGCGCTGCAATAACTTGAGCAAACTTCTCCGGGGCTCTCTCTCACTTCCCCACCAGCAGTATTGTGTCTCAAATGTTAAAGCAGTATTATTTATTCTTCTGAGGAAATTGAGGGAAAAGGATGGCAAGTGATGTGTCAGATAGGAATTATTGGGAAAAAAAGACAGGGACATAATGCAGCCACGTGAGCAGTTACCAGAGTTCACTCTGTAGAAACTGGAATAAGTTTAAAGCACCGAGGAGGAAAACTGAGTGTGTTACTCTCACAGTTAGATTACAGTTCTTCCTGTTTTTAATATGAAACTTGCTCTGTCTCCAAAGAGGGGATAGGAAATCAATGAAAATGAATGGAAGCACAGTGCCTTATATCAAATAAATGTCCACGGAAAAAGAAGCAAGACTTTAGACTTTTTGCTCCTTTAAGTATAACTTGACATAGACCAGCCATTCCCCTTACCTTTCAGAAGCCATGTTTACTGCTTGCCTTAATTAAAAAAGTAGTATTTCCATTCCTTCATCAGCTGTATCCTCAGCCATACAATGAAACTGAGTGAATGAAGAGACAGTACCTTGTGCACGTGGCTCTGGCTCGAGACTGCTATTTCATAAAAGAGACTAAAATTCAGGTGAGCATAGGATACAGACAATTAGGGGAGAAACTATGTGCAGTGAACTCGTCTGAAGCACAGGTGTAGTGGCAGCCAGGAAATCAGCAAAATAGTTGGCAGGTAGTTCTCACAGCTAACAAATCCAGGCAAATCTTTGCAAAACTAATGACTGTATTGGGCAAAAGTTTGCAAATGCACCCTACTGTCCTTTGGCACTCTTACAAGTTAAACATGAAAATGATTTTCTACTTGCATATCAAACTACAATTACTAACCTCGATTAGTTCTGCTATGAGGGTAGCTGTGCCAGAGCTCTGTGGGTTCCTTCAAGGACTTAAAAATTATTTTGAGGAGAGGAGTCATATGTATTAGCGACAAACAATCCAACAGCTTCTATAACTGAGATAGCCTGCACTCATAAAATATGGTTGTCTACTAAGCCCTTCCTTATTTTAAGTAGATAGCTGATTAAACAGACCTGGGGTTTTTCCAAGTAAATTTGATCCTGGCAACTGAACTGCCAATGAAACGGGTTGCTAACGTCAGCCCCTGGAAAGTTGATGGAATTACTGTGTAGAAACACAGAAATCCAAAGGCTTATCATTAGGTGAACTGTGAACTAGGGTTAAAAAAAAAAAAGAAAGAAAGAAAGAAAGAAAAGTGTGACAGCTATTTACATTGCTTCTGCTTTTTCTACCCCTTCACACAGTTGCAGGTGAACTGCCTTGATCACGTAATACCTACTTTTATTTTCAGATATGCGTAGGTGCACACTCACAGCTTTTCCTAGGAAGATGCCTACTCCTATAAAGCCAGGCTGGCAGATCAGGAGGAGGAAAAGGATGGGCCACTCATGACTCTAAATCATTTCATCAGTTTGCTTTTGGAAGGCAGTATGTTTAACGGTATGGCTATCTGTGCCGAATGAGGAATGGCCACGAGAGGGCACAATCCAAAGGCTTTTTGCTCCATGTAGGCAACCTTCCTGCAAACTCCTATTGTACCTAACTGAATCCCGAATCCCACAGATCTTCATGCTTATGCGTAGCTTCTCTGAGAGGAGCTCTTGTTTCTCTCTTCGCGGTTATTTAAAAGGCAGAGATTCGCTGCAGTGGAAGACTGCAAGTAAAATAATGCACTGGAGGAAAAAGTGATTAAAAAACGGATTAAATGATGGAAACTAGAAGTTCTGGAAATCTGGAAAGATAAGAAATGTTCATTATTATTTTTTACCAGATACTGTGAAATGTGACCGTGAATCATCATCTGAGCTGATTTTCTCATATCTTTTTTTAAAGTAGCTCTTAGAAAACAAGTCTCTTTCCCTCCAGTTTAGTTTTTTTTTTCTCCTTTAGCATACTTCATCAAAGATTTCAAGTTTAGCAAATGAAAGCAAGTTACTTCCAGAAGAAGAATGCCATTCTCTATTAATCTGTTTCATTGTAAGGAGATGTGAGAATTCAGGGAGGCTGTTTAGCTTGAGAACAATTTGAGAAAGCATGGTTGAATCTGAGAAGGTGGGAACCAGTTTCTAAAAAGATACCTGAGAAAGGGAGAGAGTGCGAAAGTTCTGCATGGGTTCCTGTCTGTGGTTAGCCATGCATAGTGTCTGGTACACAAATGGAGCTGGAAATATATGAGTATGTATTTGCTTGTATTTGTGTGGCAGGAATATGCCAGAGAAGGCACACTTACATACCCATGTAGCTGAACCTGCACCATTGGAATGGGAATAGATTCCTACATGTAGGTATGTGCATTGATGTGAGCTCCGGAATGCAGGATACACCTACACTGCACACCTGTAAATCTATGCTGAGCAGTTCTTCTATCCAGTTATATCTATACGAAGATGAAACAACCACCTCCTGTCATGCAGCAGAGTTCTGCAAGATGTAATTCAGAAGTGAGCCTTAGTCTACTGAAAGTGGTTGGAAGTTTTGCTACTCACTTCCATGACCTTGTGACTCAGACCTTAACACGCAGAAATTAAGCCTTTTAATGAAAAGAGGGGCAGCTTCTGATGCATTGCACCTTAGAATTTAAAACAAAGTACCACGAGTGTGTACCAAAAAAAAAAAAAAAAAAAAACTTTTCTGAAAGGAAGAGGCTGGGTATTACTTGTATCTTGAGATATGTTATTGGTGCAAGTGACCCTGAACTTCCCTTTGGCTATTTCAGATGTGAATGTAAAAATCAAACAACAAAAAATCTTAACCAAACAAGCACCTTTTTTATTCCTAAATATTGAAGGCCATTTGGGGGAAGGGCTTTGAATTTGGAAGGTGCTCTAGACTGTGGATGTAAAGTGTTTCCCTCTTGACAAAATAGCAAAGGAGAGTCAAAGTTCACCAGAACTGAATTATTTGACATTCTGAGTGACCTTGTCGATGCCCCTTTGGGTTAATTTTTCAAGAAAAGTTAAGTAAGGTTGCTGCTGCATTTTCTTCCACAAATGCTTGGGGAATAGTTCTTTTTCTTGTTTTTTTTCTTTTTATTTTTTTTTTCCTGACAACAAAAATCCCATTTTGTTCGCAGAAAAGAGTATGTGACCATAACGCTGAAGTGTTTATTTGTGTCATAATCCCCCCTCCCTTTTGTAGAGGCAACAGTCACCCGGACAGGGAGCAGGAACAAAACTGTGCAACCCAGATGACCAGTCACATACACGAGGTGTTGAATAGTTAGAATAAATCATTTGTCAGTGATCCATAGGCTGAAATGCATTCATAGAAACAGCCACGGCCTAATCGCAGTGCTAACGCATTCGTAATAATCAGCCTGCCCAGGAGATAATTGTCAGATGATAACAGTGCTAAATTCACTGAATAAATTCTGCACCGTGAACAATTCATCCAACTCCAGTGGTCACTCATTAGTAAACATTTTGAGCAATTATCTCTCAATAACCGTGCTCCTCTCTTCACTCCCTTTAGAGGAACCTTTCTAGTAACCTATTTTTTTTTCTTCTGTCTCCTGGGGAACGGAAATGAGAAGTGAAGAGAAGGATGCTTTTGAATGTAATTACACATTGGTACGCAGCACAAATTCCCCCAAATCTAAACATAGGCAGTAGTAAAGTTAGCAACTAAAAAAGGAAAAAAAAAAAAAAAAAAAAGCTTGCTTTGTATGGAAAAACAGCTCACATACAGTATAAATATAAAAATGGTTCAAAACTAAGCAGTGGGGAAGAATGGAAATTTAAAGTAACAGCACCTTCTTCCACCCAGCATTTTTGAATGGAAAATTTAAATGCTGCATATTAAGAGAAATTAAGAATAAGTCACATGACGGCGTTAGGAAGCACAATCACTTTCATTCTGAAAAAAAAAAAAACAAACAGCCTTAATCATTTAACAGCATGTGGCTATGGGGGAAAAAGTAATTGAAAGTGTTGGTATTTTATTCAAACGAACCCAAACCTCTAGATTGTATAGTTTAGGCCCTCCCTTGAGCACGTAGCTCAAGCTAAGCAGGCGTGACCTTGAGGCAGGTTTCAAACTGCAAACCAGTGGTTTTGACTACACAATTACAGCCAGTGGTCCTGCAGGAGGGATCCTTAGCTCCAAAGACTGAGCCCTCTGTGCTGCCCTGTGCCATACCCACGCTTGGCTGTGCCTGGGAGCAGCCCAAGCTTCTGGCTTGGACCCAGACAGCCCTCCTGGAGGCTCTTGTGAGTGAGGTACCCATGCGGGCACCTCACCCACATCTGGGTCCTAAAATGGTGTGTGAGCACTGAAGAGAAATACGTACACGAGCAAACCCTCGTGCTTACATAGTGATGCGGCACTCTTTCCATTCAGTAACTCCTTCCATTAAACTTGCACTATGTCACAGGGCTTGTGTTTTTAACTATTTTTCACGGCTTTTGCCGTGTTCCTGGTGCTGCTGGGTGGTTCCATCAGTATCCCAGCCTTCTTCCTGGAAGACACTTCAGCCCTGTGTCCTCTCCAGGACATTGGGAAGCAGAGATGAAGAAAAGCAATCACGGGGGGCCCAGTGTAATCCCTCGTTTCCTTTTTCAGCTGCTTTCTTCAGCAGTAACAATCCAGCCTGTTCACTCTGCTGTTTATAGGAGTGCTGGAAGGCGTTACCACTGTTGGTCTAGGGGTCTTTCTGCAGGAAGAGCAGGATGATAAGAACACCCCTGTAAAACAGCTGTGGCAGACAAGAAGTTCAGGACAAAAGGATAAACCAAGTGTAATTATCTCATAATGAGACCGAACCCAATTTTCAGGAGAGTCTCCTTTTTCCTTTCAGGTGGATGAACAGCATATATCTCTAACGGTTTGAACAGGGTTGTTAACTCAGACCAGAAGGAAAAGAGTGGTAAATCCCTATGCAAAATGTGGATAAAATGAAATTCAGCACAATTTTGGTCTTGGAACACCTGAATAATATACTTTATTGTAGTACAGAACCTTTTGGAAATATGAAGATCCTGTTATAAAGCGAATATGTAATCATCGTAAGCCAGATTTGGAGATCTCCATTCAATTCTAATACAGATCAAACTTGGATTTCAAAATGAGCTGGTCTGAGCTTCAGTAACCTTGCACAGACTGCAGGATTCATACCATTTGTGCTGTGTGATTGCAATACACTAATACTGATTGTGGAGTGAATTCAGAAAAGCTCAGGTTTTTTTCCTGATGTGAAAGCATGCTTCTTGTCCCCAGCTCTGGATCATTCCCAGTCTCCTTGTAAAAAGATCTGAGAAAAGGAATGATATTTTAAATTGTTATTAAACCTTTCATTAGCTATGCAGGTATGAGGACAGAGTATTTCATACCATGCAGTAATATTAGGTTCATATCAGCTTCCTGCATCTTCTCTCTTCAGGAGCTGAATCAATCTGTGTGTGAAAATACAGCTAACCACATCCAGGGAGTCCATTATTGTAGGTAACAACCTACAGGGAAGCTGTTATCCCTGAATAAGGACAGGTCATATGCTCCCTTGCTCTAGGTTACTTCCCTGCAGTGAAAAAATAAGTATTGCAAGTATGCTCCCATGCCTTCACTTTCTAGCATCTCTAGAAATGAGAAAAAAACAACTTTCACACTTATAGGAGCATAAGAATCATAAGAAACATAAGGTTTATTTTTTCATGTAACATCTGTCAGAAAGAATGATTGCATTGGTACACTTCTGGACCACTGCATTGATATGAAAGGTATGTCACTTTGTAACGATTTTCAGTTCCCATTGGAATGGAAATTACAAAATATGAAATTCCACGCATTAACAACATTAAGTTATTCAGCAACACGGGGCTCTCAAGCTTTTCTGGCCTCCTGGGCAATGCAGCTTCTTCCCCAGTCAGGCCAGCATGCGCATCCCAGCTGCCCTTGTCATAGCATATGAGAGGGCCCATTGTCGGTGTCCGTGTCCAGTACAGCTGGTCTACTTGTCCAGGATACCTCCTAGCAAACCACAACTGCTGTCTGTGCTCATTGCTGCACCCCAGGAACATAAATTTTGCATTTCTCATTGTGGCCGTGTTTGTGTGTATAGCTCTTAAGTGCCCTGGTCTGATTTGCTGTAGGGAAAGAGGAGCTCCTGGAGGAGCCCACTCCCCTCAGAAAGGGTCCATCAGCACTGTGTTAAGGAAAGAGATGTGCTTGAAAGCAGCAGCTTGCTCTGTGAGACAAGGTCTGGGAGCTGAAGATGCAGGCTGGATAAGTGGCCCTCGCAGGCCTTAGAAGTGCCCACTCTGATAGACCACATTCTGTATAACATCCCCATGTAGAACGCAGCCAAGCCCTAGGAGCAGGTTTGCTTTTGGCTGGCAGAATGTCACTATACACCTCCACGTGCTCCTGAACCCAGGCGGGTGGGGATTAGTGTCTAATCAGCTAACCTTTAATCCAGTGCAGCTGGCAGCTTTGCCACAGTTGCATATCCAGAATGGAAAAACTAGCGTTACCCTCTGATAGCTAACTAATGAAATTTCAGTCATTACTGAACAAATCTCATTTAAAAAAATACTACAAAATAGTGTCTCCAGTGCTCTCCAGAACTTTGTCTTTTCTACAGTCTATTTCCTTTTCTAAGTCACAGTCTCATGGGATCACCTATCTGCCTTGGAAGTTAACGGAGCTGACTTTGGAGATGTACATCAGCAAAGACTGTGAGAAGCAGTTAACACAAACCATGTGTTTTCCTATCTCGTTGACAGAACTGAGTCTACAATTTCACACTCTCATCTAGGGGGAAAACACAAACAAAACACTGTGCCCGCCCTTTGGCCACTCTAATTCACACATGCCTGTTTCTTTGACCTGGGAATGCCACCAGGGAAAGCTGAATGTGTCAGTGCCAGGACTTTGCAGAGGAGGAAGGCAACAGGTAGCTCAAGGGGCAGTACACACACACTGTAGAGACCAGAATAGTCTGGGAGCTCATACTGGAGGAGTTCTGAGGCAATGGGAAATGAGGAGCAGAGCCTTGCTGCCACAAGAGCAGTTTTTACTTTATGCTTCCAACCATTTCTTTGTTCACTACTTTTCCTTTCCAAGGTACAAAGTTCTGCTTCCCTGACAAGCAGAACCATTGCACAGTGAAACAGATCAACAGTCATGAGTTGTTCAAGAATCAGTGAGCAACTGATAATTATGAATATTGCTTCTGTCTAGCTAAGGTGAGATATCTGTGCATTTCAAATCTGTGACCTCTGGCCTCCATAATGAGAAAGAACAGAAGATGCTATCAGGGCCTTTCCTTTTGTTACGAAGACAGAGAAGTTCCTCTCTTAAAAAATAATATCCCTTCCCCCCAGCAAATTCATTCTTTCTTAACTTTTTTATGCTCTAGTGATCAAATCATTAAACAGCCTTCATTATTCATTCCAAGTTCTGCCAAGGATATGAGCTCTGTATCAGAGAAACACCCCCTCACCATCATAATCATCATCATGACATCTCAGCAAGTTGATACAATTATGCCAGAGAACCATCCTCATAATTATACAGTTCTTTAGCTCATTTTTTTTCAGTGTATTCACCATTACTATAATCACTGCAAGTACAGTGTGTTAAATTAAGAACAGAAACCACAGCTAACATCTCACAGGATGAAGAGTCTGCCTGCTGCAATTCTGTAATTCTTTACGATTTAGCTGCTAGCCTCTCGAAGCTCATATTTTGGTATTTCTTTGTTTTTGAGAAAATTGACGTTTACTACTCATTTTAAGATGCACACGAAGATGGTGTTTTACAGAGGGAGAAAGGACAGCCCTCACTCCCACTTCATTTTCAAAAGAATTGTCAAAGAATTGGCAGGACTGGAACCCACTCCCCAGCTTTAGCAATTAGGCTCAGATTTGTATGTGTATGGTACATATAGTCACAGACTGTCATCACAAATATGTTTTTGCCTTTCAGCTAACAGTGATCACAAAGGCAATTCTTAGCAGCTACTGGAGCTTACTTGCCATGAAATGCTTTGTGTAAATGAACATAAAGATCTCACTGCTAAACAAAATGCTTAAAATATGCTACTGGAAATGTGAAAATATGATTCTGAGAAACAACAGGCAAACTAATAGCTTTCTAAAGAGAGGATTTGCACAAAAGAAACTGAGGAGGGGATTATGTGAGGGAAGATTAGAACAGAAGAATCGTAAAAACGTGGAGTCAAATAGGAAACCTAGGGAGCTCCATGCCTGCAGTGACAGAGAAGTCTAATAGAATGTAAACCGACATACTAACTAGCTCTTCCTGTCTATTTTCATTTACCAAATCAGGAACACCCAAGAAAACGTTGCACTTTGAGATTTCCAAGGAAGGCAGCGAATTATCGGTGGTTGAGCATGCTGAAGTGTGGCTCTTCTTGAAGGTCTCCAAGGCCAACCGGAGCAGGACAAAAGTCACCATCCGCCTGTTTCAACAGCAGCGGCAGCCGAAGGGCAACTCTGAAGGAGCGGAAGATATGGAGGATGGGGGGCTAAAAGGTGAAAGGAGTGAAACTCTGATTTCAGAAAAAGCAGTAGACACTCGAAAGAGCACGTGGCACATCTTTCCTGTCTCCAGCAGTGTCCAGCGACTCCTGGACCAAGGCAAGAGCTCCTTGGATGTGCGGATTGCCTGTGACTTGTGCCAAGAGACCGGGGCCAGCCTGGTGTTACTAGGCAAGAAAAAGAAAAAGGAAGATGACGGGGAAGGGAAAGAGAAGGATGCTGGAGAACTCACAGGAGAAGAAGAGAAGGAGCAATCGCATAGGCCCTTCCTAATGATGCTTGCCCGGCACTCAGAGGACCGCCAGCACAGGCGGCGGAGGCGAGGCCTGGAGTGTGATGGCAAAGTTAACATCTGCTGCAAGAAGCAGTTCTTTGTCAGCTTCAAGGACATAGGATGGAGTGACTGGATCATTGCACCTACAGGTTATCACGCTAACTACTGTGAAGGAGAGTGCCCCAGCCATATAGCAGGCACATCTGGTTCATCATTATCTTTCCACTCCACTGTAATCAACCATTACCGCATGCGGGGCCACAGCCCCTTTGCCAACCTCAAGTCGTGTTGTGTGCCCACCAAACTGCGGCCCATGTCCATGCTGTACTACGACGACGGCCAGAACATCATCAAGAAAGATATACAGAACATGATTGTGGAGGAGTGTGGCTGTTCATAGGCACGTGTGTGCACAAGACCCTTCTCTTTATGTTGAGAAGAAAGTGTTTTAAAAGCCCAAGAAGAGAAAAAACCTGGCATGATTTATAACTCTTTTGAATGAAACAATCATCTGAAATACAAAACAAAAAGAAAAAAAAAAAAAAAAAGAAAAAAAGAAAAGGAAAAGAAAATTAAAGGAAAAAAAAGAGGGAAAAGTTTTTTTTTTTAAAAAAAAGACTTATGGAGGAGAGAAAAGGAGTACAGCTATTAAGAGGAAGAAAGCTTCGTGAACCCAGGCTTGAATGAGCTGCGTTTGAATGGCGGTATGGGTTGGGGAGTTTCTCCTTCCTTTCAGTACGCTCCTTATCTTATTAGACAGTATATTAAGCATTAGTTATTACTAGAGGAGATGCGTTCCCTCTTCTGGTTACCCATCAGTTCGAGCCTTGGTAGCAGCTCACGTAACCTGCAGCAGTTTGGACTGAGTCCAAAACGTCATTGAAATTCCTTGAAAAGCCATGTGTATGAACACTGCATTCACTGGCACTTTCCTCCCAAATTTACCGAGGAACTGAGTAGGTGTGTGGTGTTTGTGTGGATATGTATGTGTCTACGTATTTCTGTACGTATCGCTATGCATACAGACACTACACACTTACGCGCATTTACTTTGATAAAGGGACAAAATTGTGCAGGTGTACACACCTCCATCTTCTGCACTACATTTGCAAAAAAGAAAAGAGAGAAAAAAGAAAAAAAAAGAGAAAAGAAAAATGAAGAAAAAAGATTTAAAAAGAACGAATGAAAGAATAAAAGTTACATTCTGTAAAGGTGCTTACAATGTTAGAACTATGCAACCTAGTTGGTTTGAAACTGTTTACCTGCAAGAGAAAGAAAAAAAAAACAAAACAAAAAAACAAAAAAAAAAAAAAACAGAAAAACTTTTTTATAAATGGAAGTAACTTGTTTAAAAAAAAAAAAAAACAAACATTCTTCAGTGAGAGATACTTGAAAGGAATATGTTTGTCCAGTTACTGGAGCCAAACATTTCTATATTTTGTAAAAAAAATTTTTAATCGTTTACTATTTGCACTACAATGGTGTCTGACCTGTCTAATCCTTATTTAACAAACATTTGCAAGGGAGGGTGGTTGGGTGTGGGAGGGGTTGAGAGCTGCACTTATTGTGAGCTATACAAGAACTGCTACAGCACACAAAATAGCTATTTTTATTATTATAATTATTATTATTATTTTGTACCTTAAAGCGAATAGACATATACACCAAAGACATTCGTGCGAGCCTCTAAAAAGTCTATTTGTGGTTGCTACCATTCACCTGTAATAAGTTACAGTTTGAATTAGGGGTCAGTTGGTTGATTCCATTCAGGGCAGTACATCTGCTAACCAGTTAAATTAAAATTCTACCCTAACCAGGAAATTGCAATTTGGAGTAAGCTCAGAAAAGCGCCCTGGATGCAAGGCGCTTGGATCCACAGTCCGTCTAAGCCTAATTATACTTGTTCTGCATGTACAACACTTAGACTTATCCCTGATGCACAGAAACTGCATCACTGGGAAACAATTTTATACAAGGGATATGCATATATATATGTATATATTTCTATATGTATATATGTGTGCATACACAAGGTATAAGCACTTCTGGCTTCACTTTAGCGTTCTTAAAGCAATGAATGTTTGTGTGCAAAGCACAGTACAGTACAAACTTGTTTGTTTGTTACTAGCAAGCAGGAGGGAGCACATTCAGAATGGCATTTGTGTGAGAGGAACCTCAATCGGTGGTGTACGCTAGGAAAGTATCGATGCAAAACTGCAAGCAGCTTTGGGCCCTGCCCACCTTCGCCCCTGCAAATACAAAAAAAAAGAGTGGCAGTTGTGGTCGGATTTCTGCTTGAAATGCAGCCTTCAGCAAAAGGCTGGCAGTCTCAACCACCACCCTCTAGCACGACAACTCTTACTGCGTTACCTGTAAAATGTAATTTAATTTTCAGTATCAGCACCTAACCTGAAGGGTCCAACCCGTAGGGCATAGGTAGATAAGTTTTAAAAAAAAATTCTATTGCTGTCGTATTTAAAAGAATGTTAAAGTTATAACTCGTGTCTTTGAGTAGGGGAGATGAGAAGAGGGAACGGGAGAAACCTTTCGGCCCTGTTTACACTGAATTTGATAACCCTGAGCCTGAACTTTTGGACTCTCACAGGTTTGCAGGACCAAGCCCCTGTTCACTGCCTTCTGATAGGATGAGCTTTCAAAGGCCTCCCAGCAAAAGCAGCTCTAACACGGCTCCCCTCATTGCTGAGAGCACAGTTTGTAAAAACATTTAAAAAAAAAGAAAAAAAAAAAAAAAGGAAAAAGGAAAAGATAGCACAATTTAACCCGGTCACATTGGCTAGGGATAGTGTGTTAGCACCTTCACGGAGGGACCCATGTCTAAGCAGTGTAATCAGGGCCTTCATTTGTCGTCAGCCAAAACTGCTTGTGTGCGTGTGGTGTGGGTGCACTCCATGTCTGTGTGTGTGTCAGTGTGTGGGTGCGTGTCCCTGTTTGTACCTAGTGATAGAAACCTTAAAATGAGGGGAAAAAATGAAAAAAAAAAAGAAAAAATCGAAAGAAAAAAAAAAGAAAAAAAAAAGAAGCCCTTTCCTCAGTTGAATAGATATCAACATACATGCTTATAGCTAAGTTTTCTATCTAATTTATTCCACAGTATTTAGATTGCATAGTTCAGCTAATCGATTATACATGTATGTACTTTTTATACAGTGCATTTTTACAGACCTATTCGCAGTTTGCAAAAAAAAAAAACAACAAAAAAAAAGAACAAAAAAAAAGAACAAAAAAAAAAAAACTTCCAAAAAATGGTAACGATTGGGTAAACACTAAATTTGTCACTAAATTATTCTGTAAAATATCAAGGCTTTCTGATTTAAATTATTTTCAGAAGGTGTATTTTTGTCTGGTTTGGTTCGGTTCGGCTAGTTGTTTGTTTTGAGGAGTTCTCTTCCTGAGGGGAGTAGGAAAAAAACAATAATAATAATGCACAACTAATTTATCTTCATAACTTAAAACCAAGTTCCTGACTGTTTCATTTTAAGTAGCAGAATGGCTGTTTTGTTTTGTAGAAGGAGAGCTAGGCTCTGGAATAGCAGGAGCAGGGACATAGCCTGTGACATCTGAGGAGAGCACCTTTCATTTCCCTGAGCTTTGGACCAGGACTTAAAATTAGGTGCAGATCATCTCTCCACACTCCCTAATGTCAACAGGCTCACTGACATCTCCTTGCAAGAGCAGTGACACTGCTTATATGAGTAAAGGTTAGCCAGGCTGAACCACAGATTCCTTGTACTGTAAACAGTGTGAAGGGAGAGAATGGATTTTGAATGAGTGGTACCATATCCAACACCATTTAATTCAACTGACTGTTAAAACTATGCTGCTTGCATCATGGGTTGTTCTCTGTATGTAGTGGCGAGGGAAGCAGGTGAGATGGCTCATGTTGGCAAAAATTATTCTCAAGTGTGATTAGTTAGAGAGCATTGGAGTTCTGAAATCCCAGCACCTTCCCCAAAGGACTATGACAAAACTCCCATTGGCTGCAAATAAAGTAAGTTGAGGCTCACTGTCTCCTTGTCCAAAGCTGGCAGAGCCTTTAAAATGAAGTCTGAGTTTGATAACTTCTGTATGGTGCTCTAGGGCTGGCCCTGGAATGCACAAAACTAGCTTGAGACAATTTCCATGTGAGAAAAGAAAGGAGGATTTTACATGTGGTGAGTGTATTTCGTAATAGGTGCACCAAAATCAGAAGAAGCTTTTGCAAAGCAAAAAGTAACTATTCCTAAACCCAGCTTTTTAGCTTTCATGTGTGTATCTTATTCACAAATTGAAAAGGTTTCTCCCTCCAATCTCAGTCATGGAGTTTTGATTTGTGAGCAAAGTTATTTAAAGCAGAGGAGAGTGAAAAACTATATGGTAAAATAAGAAATTGTGGTGTTAGTCAAGACAGACTGATTCCAGCAAAACACCCTACTCCTGATAACTTGGTTTAATTACATCTGCATGTACTTAGAAACGTGATTAGAAATTGTTGCCATATTTAAACAGTTTTCCAGGGGGATGCGGTCTCAAAAATTACTTCTCCTTTCAGGTACTACTATAGGAAAAAAAGAAAAAAAGGCTTTTAACTACTAACACATTCCTTTCTGTATAACCCGTTTCCTGTTTATACTGAAAATGTATTTGCAGCATATATTTGATCACAGAATGTACTTGCTGAGTACCTCCGCAATCTTCCTGCTCCAGGGCTGACATTTGGTGGTCTTTCCCCCTCTCCATGTCAGATGCTCACTGTATCACACAGGCCAACAAAACTGGCAGAATTACACATTAAGGTGTTTCTTTGGGAGGGATGAATGTATTTGTATTCTCGGGGTTTAGCAAAAGGAAATGTTTACAGAAGCTTGTGATTATTCTGCACTTACATGTCACAGCAGAATACAGATCTAGGGCCCAAAACTGCAGAACTGATTGAAATGGGAGTTTTGTCATTGATTTTAATGGAAATAGTCCCCTAGCCCACCACTGCAAACTAGGACTCTGTTACAAATACCTACTTCTTTGTCTTTAGTTAAGGTTCAAGCCATCAGGTTCGTTTAACTGTGACACCACAAGGCCACACGGAGGCTAGCAGCAATATCTCTGAGTTGGAGAAATTCAGGCACCTGTAATGTCTGTGTGCAAAAGGAGAATTTTTATGGACTATCGTTACTTATGTGGAATAGTGCCTTACTCTGTAAGTAATGCTGTTGATTTCAGAGTGTCTCCTGCCCTAGAAAGTCACCGTCAGCATGAATACCATGAGAGAAATCTATTTCTGGAATGTAGGTAGAAGAGATGTGACTGAAATTAGTGATTTCCTTAAGTTAAGCCTCGTGTCAATACCATGCATCAGTATAAGGATCAGATGCTGATCACGTTCCCGACACTGAATGAACTTGACTCCCAACCTACTCTCACTGCCTTACACATGGAGCAAAAAAGTTTTCAGTTTGAGTAACGAAAATCACAATTTGACCTTTGGTGAACAATTACAAACGACATTTTCGTGGGCAGAAACAAGCAACACTTCTGGGTTATATAGCTATTTATTTTTTGAGATACGGTGAATCGGTGTTAATTATCAATGGGTTTCTTTGTATTTAAATACTTTCAAAAGCAGTACATTGACGATGGGTTGAAGATATATATATGTATGTATGTATGTATACATATAATATATATATATATCTACAATATATATATACACACACAACCATATATATGTATATACATATATATATATATAAATTATGAAAGCCAAGATATTATGAAGCCTATTTTGTTTTTATCATTTTGTGTTTTGTTGTTGATATTATTATTATTATTGTTATTATTATTATTTTGCATACTACATGCAGTGCTTTAACCAATGTCTGTTTGGCTAATGTAATTAAAGTTGTTAATTTATATGAGTACATTTCAACTATGTCAATGGTTTCTTAATATTTATTGTGTAGAAGGACTGGTATTTTTTTTTATTTACATTATGTTTAAAGAGGTAACAGTTTGATATGTTCTCATTTGTTTATATTAGAAGTTATTTATTTTCACGGCATTCCGTCTGGTATTTTGATATTTGGAAGGCATGCTACCTATACTTTGTACAGTTAGTGGGCAGTATTCAGCAGCTCCCGGTAGATCTTTAGGCCCTACGTTAAATAAAAGACCTGTTTGGGAATTTTTATTTTAGATCTTTCTTATTGGTTTGCCAGGAGCACTCAGTGCACTTACTGCCAGATACCCTGCCTGCGTGACCAATTTATTCCTGCTGTATTTACCCAGGACAGAGGACCAAAACCACCTCTGGTGTAAGTCCGGTGACTTCAGTGAAGTTACAACAGAGATGTCTTTGGCTCACCGAGAAACCGCTTGTGCAGATCAATGCAAAGAAAGGACAGAGAGAAAGTGAGAAAGAAAGAAGGAAAGAAAGAGTCTTTGCATTTGGAATGGGATTTCAACGTATTAAAAATGTTTGGGTCAGCTACTATTTTACTTGGTTCTTTTTGTTATTTTGCTCTTTCTTATACAATGACAGCAACAACACAAGTGAAATAAATAAAGGGAGTTTCACCAACCATTGCGTAATCGTCCCTTAATACACATCCCTGGTTGGGAAATACATGGGAGTTCGAAAAACACCAGAAAAATTTAACCATAGAGGGGAGACATATGGGTGCCTCTTCAGACGCAGCCCTGTAATGCCTTTGTCTCCAGTCTGACTGTGCTAACTGTTCAGACTCTAGTCCTAGGCGTAATGCAATTTTAGGCTGTCCATTTCTTGTGAAATGCAGCCACTATGAAAACCACAGTCGGTGACAGCTTCCCTCTGCCCACCGGCCGCTGGGTCTTCAGCTGTCACCACGGTTCCCTTGAGTAACCCAGAACTAGACGCTTACACACAGAAAAGGAGAATTTGTATTTGACAAACCTGCAAGGATGTCGGCTCACGTGCACTAGTTTATAAATTGATCAGTAGCAGATGAAGTCATCAAAGAAGCCTGCTCACAGGCAGCGATCTCTGGCCTGAGTGAGAAATCATCTGAATACCCCCGTATTTGAAAGTAAAGCGCACTTATGAGGGATTTTTACCAGTCATTGCATTCCTAGGGTGATAAATGGACTCCTGCTACATTCCAGTGGGCTGAGAATCAGGGAACAAGAATTCTGAGGTTGATCTTTAAATGGATTATTTGCACGGTGCTCAAACACGAGCCACCACAGCCATTAGCAGGCCTTTTAATAGTCACGCACTGCAAGTTGTTTTGCAAAGGCTGGAGAAGTGAGTTTCCTTCCTCTTACTGAGAACGAGTTTTCAACAGATCAGTGCAATCACGGTTACAGGACGCCTTTGTTTCAGAGAAAATTAAGATATGATTGAATATTTGCTTTCTTTCCTTTGCTATGATCACTATTATTACTACTGCCATTAAGGATAAATCCTTTGCAGCTTTGGAAGCTGCACAAGCAAAATAAAATCTTGTGGGTTACTTGATTCAAACTGCTATCATATTAACCTTGTATAAATGAGGCTTACACTTCAGGTGTGAAACAGGGAGTTAGCCTTTCTGTGGCACAACATAAAGTATAACACTGGCTGGTGTAATCCAGATTTTTTCCATTTTCTCCAGCTGTTTGATATTCTTTTTATTTTAAGAATACTACTGAAAACTGTTGCTAATGCTTGAGCTTGTTGAAATGGCCCTGCTCAAAACAACAGTGGAGAGCTAAGAGCTGCCTTTTGCACAAACCAAACAATCTGTTAAATCCGAAATAATTATCCCAAAGAAAGTAGACCATGCTAGTAATACACAGGCAGATAACACCAAAAAAAATCTCATAATAGATAGCGTCTCCTCAGTGTGGATTTCCTATCACAGAGGAAGATTTTCGTGCTGCAACTTGGGCTGTTTATTCCCTGTGCCAGTTTCACTGTATATCAGAATTTTCCTCCATACTTCTCACAGGACCAACAGAGCCTGTGTTTCAGGTGGTAGCAGAGGCTGTCCTCTGTGTTCCCTTTTTTACTAAAGTTTGTCTGCCTCTCTGAAATACAACCACAGACTGGCTTAAACCACTGCTCAGGGTTTCTGTGCTCTCTCATACTGCTGACAGTAACATTGCACAGCCATCAAACCCATTGGCTCATAGACATTTGCTGCCCAGCTTCTGTCTCTGGGTGTAACATGGTTTCAAGAGAGTTATCTGGTTATCTCGCACACTGTCACCACTTGATCACTGTTCTCCTGACTACCATTGCTTCTCATCATCTTTGTTGGAATTGCATTGGCTGGAAAAACAGTGCAGAAAACCACCAGCAGCTAGAACATCTTAAATCACTTCTGTAAGACAGCTAAGTGAATGGCAAGGATTCCCTTTTCATTCTTACAGTCAGAAACTCCAAACACCTGAAGTGGAAGGTTAGAAGAAAACTCCACGTGAATAGATGCTGTCCATGTATCACTTTCTTATGACCATTTTCTTACGGCTTCTGCAGATGAGAAGAAGCTTCCTCAGCGTGGGGTGACTGAGCACTGGAACAGGTTGCCCACAGACATTGCTGAATCTCTGGAGATAGTCAAAATGCACCTGGATGTGATCCTGGGCTAAGTGACATTCCTTGATGCTGGGTGGTTGGACTAGATGATCCCAAGTGGTCCCTTCCAACTTCAACCATTCTGTGATTCTGTGTATGGGCATGGGTTTATTTTATCTTTGAACAGGGAGACTGCAGCATATAGCTGCAGTGGCAAATTTAATGAACACATTACAGCACCACATCAGGAAGCAGCATAACAATTATTTTATATGTCTGAATCATCCAGCCTCTGCTGCATTAGAAAGTCATTCTATCTCAGAAGATAGAAATATGTATCACCAGAGTTATGACCCCCAGAATTTCATATAACAGAAGACAAAAACAACATAGCAGGTTTATTCAAAGAAGAAAAGCATTCAATGGAAAGTTGGCAGAGCAGAGGTCCCTAGAGGGGCTTTTGAGATGACTGCTCCTCCACAAGCTATGTATTCACAAGAATGTCTCCTATAGCTGCATTAGGATGCAGTTTGTAGACATTGGCATGATTTTAATGAAGTCAGCAGGGTGTTACGGACCTGGATGGCTTAGCTGAAAGTAAAATGAAGTCCTATTGTTTGAGAAAAAACCATTGAGTATAAAAGTACAAAGATGGTAGATGACGCCGGCACTTTAACAAATCTTGTTTGAGAGCGATTGGAATTGTGTGCCTTTGAGAACTGTAAAGATAACTTACATTGGTAGAAAATTTTCCAGTTACAGAATTTAGCTTTACAGCATCCTGATATGTAAGGAGCCTGTTTTAAGGTCTAAATCTCTTTAGCTCTTCTCAGATGAGTGGTGTGTCTTCCACTTCACTGACACCATCTTTTCTGGGGACATGCCAGCTTCAGAAATGGGGCAATGAAGCAAGAAGGTGCAGCACCAGGGCCAGGCATCAGACAGACACTCACTCCTTTTTCCAGTCTGGGACTGTACAGCAGTCACAAGTCTATCTAAAGTCTTAGCAGACAGATTGGTTAAGAAGTGATAAATCAAACTATTTCAATTTTTTTTTTCTTCATCATTTTCTACCACATGACACAACTCTCAGAAGTAAAACAGGCCTGTTTCAGCACTGGCAAGTTACCTCGGTATGAATCAGGTTTAAATTTGTCATGTTTTCAAATGCATACCTTTTTATGCAAATCCTACTCCTTTCTCACGCTTGCAATGGACAGCCTGGTCATTTGTACACAGCTGTTGTGGTGAAATTTGCTCTTGGCTTAGCCTTCAAGCTTCCCTTCTCCATTCATATTTCCATAGCCTAAGAAAATACTCTCAGGCACAGGACTTCTATACCACCCCCACATGTCTGGGCAGGAAGGACAGGAATCAGATAAGTAAGTTAATTACATCAACCAGTAAGAGACATTCCCTATGGAAAGAAACTCCAGGCCCAAACAGGAGAAGCTCAACACAAGACCTGCCCTGCCAACCACCCAGCCCACTACCAAGAAGGTCTGAAGCACCTGGGGAAGATTGCAAGGACTGCAGGGATCTAAAAAGAGTGGCTGAAAAAGCTGCATGCAGACTGTCTCAGGATACTGTGTGTTAGAGACATGGCAGTGGAAAAAGATCCAGTACGATGAGTAAGCAGGATAAAGTCATTTAAGGAAGAAAAATAGAAAAGAACAAAAGGACTGGTAAGTTAATTCTAAAAGCACAATACAGAAAGATAGAAAAGTATCTAGTACTCTGCAAAATCCATATCAACTGAGTTAAAAGCAGCGTGTGCTTTATAGATGGAAAACCTGTTTCTATTTCCTTGAAGAAATCAACAAGTTCATGGAAAGGAAATGACACTGATATAGTCAGCTTGGAGTTTACAAGAAGAATTTACAAAGACTCCCACTAGTATTTCCCCAAGTAAACCAACCCATCATGAGATTAAAAAGGCCACACAGACACCACAAAGAGTTTTTATGAGAAGAGATGAAAGAAATGGAGAGATGTCATCAGTGTCTGGCTCTGAATTTGGGTCTGTCCTACGAGCTTAAAAATCTGAAAATCAGCATGAAAAGCCAAATGACAGTGTTCTGACAATATGCAATTAATCAAAATAGCAAAGAATATGGCTGACTGAAAGGAACTGCAGAAGAACTTCACAAAATAATGAAATAGCAGCTGGAATTCAGCATTGGTGAATATAAAGTAACACAGGTGACATGACACATGCAGGAGGAAACAGTCCTGACTTCACATGAACAGAAATGAGCTGCCCCTCAGGAAGGGGACTTGAGCGCTATAGCACAGTTTCAAAGTCAGTCAGGAAGGTAAAGTGAACACTAGGGATTACTAGGCAAGACAAGGTTTGTTGCTTATTAGACCCTTGGTATACCTGGAAAATGCAGGCATAGTTTTGGGTATTGAAAGAGAACGTCAGGCTTTGGGGTGAAACAGAAACTCCCATTAGATTGCTGAAGGCAGCAGTTTGGGTCTCCTTTCTGGCTTCTCTCCTTCAGGCTGAGAAAGTCCAGCTCTGAGAAAGACCTCTCAAAGTCTCCTCATACATGTCCCTCACAGGGACAGAGCGAGGCGAGAAGAAAAAGACATTATTTGAATGTCACTGTGTTGCTGATTGGAAAAGCTTGTTGTTGACTCCCCATTAGTGCTGTCACTTTTGCCTCAGTATAATCCCACGCTCCTTCTGGAGGATCGGGTCACAGCAGGCATTGATCCTGGGTATGCAGAGGGAGGTTACCCAATACCACAAGACAAAAATACAACTATGCTGCAGCAAATCAGACAGCTCGGATATCCTTCTGGTGCAGCCAGTTGTTTTGATTCCTTTAATCCATCTTTTTTAAGATCATTTCCAGTTAAAACACAAAAGCGTTATAATCCTCGTGGATGAGCTGCTGCAGCCTGTGATGATTATTTCTGAGCCTTCTTCAAGGGCCAGTCACTATTTCCTTCAAGTTCCAGTCTGCTTCAGTTGCACAAGCTTCCTGCATCCCCTGAGACAGCCTGATGGGCTGTGATCCGCCAGGTTTTCCCTC